ATATATATATATATATATGTGTGTATCTATATCTTTTTCGAAAATAAAAAATATATATTTATTTTAAGAATTGATATTATACAGTTATTGTTATATTTTATTAAAATTTCATTCAAGCTTTATAATTTCATATTGATATATTTTCTGAAATCGATTGACAAAATAGAAATACATGTTAAAATATTTCTCGTTTTTATAACTCTTCGAAATTTGTTTACGTTACTTACGTACATAAGATTAAAATAGAAGTTGTTCATTTTTAACGCGTATAATAACGTAATAAATTTTATGCCACAACCATATCTTATCATTCGTAGTTAATATTGTAATTAATATTGTAACGACAATAGTCCAAGTAACTGCTTCTCGTCCATAATAGTGAAATATTTGAATTATTTACGAATAAAACTTGTGAAACTCTCGTTAAATTGTCACACTCGCGAATAAATATGTTTAAAAAATAAATACACATATAACACATAATATAAATACTTTTAACAAACAAATACATTTTAGAATAAAATTTTAAAAACAAAATTCGCGAATAATTTTATCCGAGCACGCACGTCTGAACGATACAGCGATCGAAATATAACTGTAATTATTTCAACCTTTCGTAATATTAACTCGGCAGGCAAAGTCACGCTTCAGTTTATACCATCGATAATGGCGTAAACTGTAAACTTTCGACGGAGAAAATTTCCTCGATATAAAATGTTTTAATTTTCAATATTATAATTATTATATTATTGAAATATTTTTAATCTTACAACTTTTATATTTGTAACAACTATATATTTTTTATTTTATCAATAAAAATTTTAAACATTCAACTATTCCATTATTTTCAACATTAAAGATTATTATTTTTAATATTATAATTACTTTCTAATATTAATAACACAAAATTAATTTAAAATTTTTAAACGAATTCTTAACAATAATTTGAAATTGAAATTCTTATTGTATTTGAATTTAATCATAATCACGATCTCGAAACAAAGGCTATTTTCTCATAACTACGTTTCATGTAATTACCTCTTAAAAAACAATAACATAAAGGAAACATTATTACGAAAGAAAACAAGATTAATACTGTTCTTTACACGAACAGTAGTAAATTGATAGTGCAAGAGTAGGTTCCTTATCGTTTCTTTTTGTTATCGATTTAAAATTAAATATATTTAAGAATCAAATAATAAAATAAAAAAAACTAATAACTTGTATTTCGGATGAAGTAACAAAAAAAAGAAAAGAAAAAAGGAAATTACATTGTATAAATCGCAATAAACATTTTCTTTCGCTCCTCGTTATTTCATCCTCATTTCACTTGTGATTATCGCAGAGAGTTCAAATGTTAATGTTGAATTGACACAACTTCCAGGATAAAAAAAAAAATCTAATATAAAAATTGTTAATACTTTAACACTTTATATAAAAAGATAATATTGTATATTTTTTGATTAGATAAAATAAAGTATTATAATCATTTTTTTAATTACAATTATTACGTAGAATTGGCTATCAGTTGCGTAATTAAAATTCTAACATCTGACAACACAATTTTAAATGAAACACGTATTCATCGAGTATCAGTTCGCGGTTAAAAACGGATTGTATTATCACGTGTAAGATCTCTCTACTTCTAATACTACAATTTTAAAATTGATTTTTGTTAGGTATGTGTTATGTATATATAAATGAACGAATGAAATTATTTTAATTATAAATTATTAAGATATTTCTTTTAATATATTTTTCAACATCTATCTATATTACGAGCTTATTCAAGTAGTAATTTTAGAACGAAACAAAGAACAATGACTGTACACGTTTCTACTTTCTCTGTTAATATATTGATACAATACACGACAAGTATTTTTCTCTTTCTATTGACAATACGTAACGATATTTCGTCTGCCAAAATTTGCAACGCATCATTGGAAAATTGTAAGTACACTGTTCTTTTTTTTTTTTAATCTGTTAAATAATTTCTAAAAATGTCTTTTGTGTTATATTTAGGGCAATCTCGAATCGGTATACTTATTTCACCGATAATCTCGGGATCAATGATGCGCGAAATAGAAATTTATTGGAACAACGTCAATATTGAACCTGAGGATAAAATCTCGCTATACGCGGAAGACTCTGAGGGACTTCAACGTGAAATTTACACCGTCATTCCGGGCGATTCGAGCGGGATTCAAAAAACCGGGGTG